GTAACTATATGTTGTGTACACGCTCGTACGCACCGACACACCCACACGCACGTCCCACACACACGCACGCATGCACACATATACATTGACACGCACGCGCTCGCGCGCACGCACGCACACACGCAAATACACACACACACACATACACAAATACACGCGCGGGCGTGTCCATGTCATTTGTAAAGCTACATAAATCATTTCAAACATAAATAATACATAAATAGTTCATCACATCGAGCCAGGATACTTACATTTGTTATATATACTCATATTATATAGGCATTGTATAATTTCATCCACAGATATCGAAGGCACTTCTTCCTGTCTAACCAAGTAGTGTATTTATAGTTTCTATCTAACTATACATATATATATACCTACTGTGTAACTATATGTTGTGTACACGCTCGCATGCACCGACACACACAAACACGCACACACATTCCAACACACGCACACACGCACGCATGCACACATACAAATGCATTGACACGCACCCGCTCGCGCGCACGCACGCACGCACACGCACAGGACACACACATACACAAATACACGCGCGCGCGTGTCTATATCATTTGTGAAGCTACATAAATCATTTCAAACATAAATAATACATAAATAGTTCATCACATCGAGCGAGTATAGTTACATTCGTTATTGATACTCATGTTTCAATATTTTATGTGAAGGTCAATTTCATTCATTACAATAGTGAAAACGTGCCAGTACGATAATCAAATGTGAAATTCAGACTCATATGAAAACGTCAAAGTTAATGCAGAAAAGAACAAAACAACGAGGCTTGCTGCATAAAAACTTCCTCCCGTATTTCCGTTCACATCACCCTACTTTTGTACGTTTTTAGCTCAACGTTGCCCTCGTCACACCTTGCTCTCCCTAGCGTTCTCCATCGATCTACACTGTTCCTCCTCACCAATTCCATCAACATTTCTTTTCTCATCGTCTCTTTTTAGACGTTTTCCGAACGAATACGTTTTATCGACGAACTATAAAGGCTTTACCGAACACGACCTATTAAAGTTTGCCGATACAAACCACCCCGCCGCCGACATTATATAATCAAAACCAGCCCGGTCAACGACCAGCCTATTTCACCGCTACCCCATCCGTTGTCCCGTACTTCCTATGTGAAAGCAAACGTTCTCTAACGTACATGAGATTTCACACTCACACGAATACCTACATGTTCTCAGGCCTAGTGACGCACACCAGACGCTCTGCCTGCCTGCTTATGTAATCGATACAAGCCGGGTCAACGCCCGATCGCTTGCGCACACATCTAGCCAAAGCGCCCACTCTCACTCATTATACGCCACAATTCAAAGATTCTTTATTTACCCTCTGCCCACCCTGATTTTTTGATGATAAGAACCGATGTTAAGAAACGATCTTAATTAACCCCAAATTGCAACATTTCTTGTTTGTAACGTGTTTTGCGCATCACGTGCAATGTATTGACCACTTCAGATTTGACTGTCCATATCGTTTATCGGCTCCTTTTACATGTCATTATACTGATATATTTGAATCGTTCAATGTCAATGTCAATGAATCGTCAATGTCATTCATCACGCTCATTACAATTTACATTCGACACCGTCTACCGCAATAGTGAAGATGTTCCGTAGTAAAACTGAAAATTCATCGTCATATGTACAAATCTTTCATGTGAACGTGTATGTCATTGATGAAATTCGATTCCAATTTTCCAATTTTCATTATTTTTGTTGTTACTATAATTTAATAGCCAATGCAGATTAGGCCCTAGACTTAGGCAAACGTCTAGTTACAGACTGCTGCTTCTATAATTATTTGAATTGCCTACGAAAGTCAAAGAAGAATAAGAAATATTTCTTTGGTAGTATACACATTCATTGTTCTTTATTATGCATTACTATATTTATATAATTCTTCATATTATTTATATTTACTACATGCTACTGTCTACTGGCTACTCTACTCACTACTCGCTACACACTACTGGCTACTCTATACTCTTCAGTTCTCTTCAGTCGTCTTCACTATCATCAGGAACTTCCCTAAAAAACACAGCAACAATGCACATCATTACACAATAACACATGCATTAAAAATACAACCATTCATGTATAGACTGCCACAATTCAATGCCAACTTCACGAGTGAAATCATCAAAATGAAGTCTCAACATATGTACACACAGCACAATGCACATGGTAAGAAGATCAACTTTACACACTTAACGAATATCTCACATGCTCTGTGACAACCTTACCAGATAACAAATACGATCTCTACTACTTGTACCTTATTTTGACGATTTGCCCGTTCCTTACAGTAAAGGTCACATCCAGCCTGTCCAGCCTTTCAATTACATAATCTTCTTTGCCCAGTTCACGCAGCACTTGACTATTCATTTTGAACGTCAGAGATGTTCTCCCCATTGAAATTTCCACAGTCACGGTCTCACTAGAATAAGGGCATTTTTGGTAAAACACCTACTGAAACAACATTTCACTCACACAGTGACGTTACTGCAAGCATTTCAACAATCTCCATATCAATGATTCGGTTGTCAAAACATAATGCATCTGTGTGTTTAAAAGCACAATAACAACATCTACTATCAGTAGATCAATTCTCTACATACCCGTCAATATCAATGGCTGATACAACTCCTTGCTGCTCGATTTCTTCGTCCAATGCTGATGTCACCTGAGTAAAAAACAATTGTTCACGAC